CGCAGATTTTGTATGTCTAAATTGAGCTTGTCAAGATGACTCACTACAAAATCATACAAGCCTTGTCCAGTTGTATCCTCCACAGGACAAAAGCCTAAAAAATGTTCTTGAATTTCTTTACTTTTCATTTCTGAATTGTAATGCACAAAGCAAATTATGACTGACATTTGATCCACATGACTTACATCAGGGTTTGTATCAAGAATAATAGAGTAATACTTTGCATCTTTGACCATTTTCATTATGTTTTGATGCATAGCACTAGCCAATAGGTCAATAATTTCATTTTGAATTCTATGGCCCAAATAATGAGGCATAGCTTTTGAAGTTGAACCTTGAACAACACAGCGCACATGCTCTGCCATTACTGCATCAAATTTTGAAATTGTTTCAATCAATTTCAAAAATTTCCATAATTTTTTTCAAGTAACTGCCCTGATGCCCCCCAGAAAGCTAATGTTTGTCTTGCCAAAAACATAATTGCGTGAATGATACGCTCAATTATGGAATGCAGTAAGCTTTTTCTGTTTCATACAACTTTTGCTGCCTTGAATCAATAGTAACATTTTTTGCGAAATCTGCCTGTAGTTTGGCAAAAATGCCACTGTTTTTCATATGTGTAGTACTCTTCTCGTGTTTGCTCAAAAGGAATGACAAGTGCTTCCAGTCATTACATCCTGAAACACTACTTAGTTGTGTTTTCCCTCCACCATAAAGTCTGCAATACAAACAAAATACACACTCTCTTGCAGCTGAGTATAGGAGCCATACTCTTATAACCTTCTCACCATTAGGGAGTAACCTATAATAATAAGATGTGGAAAATTTATGATCAAACTGATCTGTTGGGAAATTCCATTGCATTATCTGTGTAGGAGGATGTAGAACAATGAAATCTTTTTGCTTCATTGTCAAAATTTTTGGCTATGTGCCAATATCTTGCATCAATGAAACATAATTTTCATTCAACATAATTCCTCCCCCTTGTTTTTCACAATCACTCATTTCTTCAGTTTGGAGTTCCTGGATTGCATTTTCACTTTGGTCCTCATTCCATGTATAGTACTTGGTGTGTCTGCTCCCTGTGGTTGGTGTTCTTCTTGCAGCATGCCTTCTGCATGTTCCCCCTCTGCTTTGCTCATTTTTCTGGCCTCCAGGAATTTTTTCAAAGAACCAGACAACTGGATGCATTGTTCATCTCTTGCGGCCTTCCTCTTCTTGTTTTGAGCTCCAGAGAGCTTATTTGACTTCTTTTCAGCCATCTGAAAAGTTTTACTTAGTATAAGTGAACATTTGGCACTCAATAAAAATTCAATATTTTGTTCTGAAAGCAAAATTGTAAAATGTGAAACTATCATGGAGTTATGCAGCATTTCCACCAACAGAATCTACAATGAAATTCTGGACAAATATTCATATTACAATGTATCTATAATTTTCAATTATGAAACCTCTCACATAGACTTTAAAAACTATCATGAAATTTAAATTTTTGCTTTCACATGTTAGTAATATTGCATTTTAAGGCATCCTCTTTTGCTTGACATGCTAATGAAAATTATATAACCGAAGGAAAGCTTGCAAAAGTAAGAATGGATTCATGTTCACAATGTGCAGTCTACAGTGCTACCTTGAACAACAAAGACAACTTGTGGAATGGCAACATTTCTTGTACAATTTGTTCTTTTTACAAAATATGATTCCCCATAGAAGTCTATGGGCAATCAGTTCATTTTCTCTAGCAGTGCAGAAAAGTTGAAAATTTTTGTTTTTTCTCTTTCAACCTATGAAACTCTTGTATGAAGTCTTACAACTTACATCTTTTGCTCTAAGTTGAATGACATCAGCATACTCTTCTTCCACATTCCCTGATTTGTGCATTGGATAATAATGAATGCACCATACTCATTTGCAACTTTTCAAATAGAGGAATATTTGTTGTACAAAAATGTTGTATTGTACTCAATAATGACTCCCAGCTCTTGTAACTTCAGAGAAATTGGCAGAGTTGCATCTCTTTTGTTGCCATGAGAAATTTTGGTGACACCATTGCTGTATATGTGTTGGTAACCCAACTACCTCTATCAGGAGAAGGATTTTGGGTGTTGGCATTATTCATAAAACCATCATTTGCTCCTGACATGTCCCCAAAAGAGGTTTTGATGATGACATCCTCCTTCATTGTTCCAGGCAGATTCTCACACATTGATGCTGTAACACCAGTTATACCTGACATGCATATTTAATGGAAAACACTGAAGCATTCACTTGATTATAAGAGAATGCAGCTTGCACACATTTTGTGAAATTGCCAAAATCTGTAAAATGTTACAATTCACAAGACTACTTTCAACAAAGCTACAGTAACCTTCTTCAGGAGTTCTCATAGTTTTTCCATAATTCAGCTACTGTTATGTAACAAGAATGACATAATCCCATGCAAAACTACCATTATTGAATTGATCATTCAAGATTAGAAAATTAAAATAGTTTGTGTACATTATCTTCGTAAAATTAAAATGTTTTAGTAAATTAACATCTTAGACAATGATTCTTAGGCATTATTTTTTCAAATTCTGGTGTCACAAACCTAATGGGCTAATGTTGTTGAAAAGGCTTGACAGCTAAGTAAATACAATATTTCATGCAATGTCAATAACCCAGCAGTTACTCGCCAAAAATATCTGCATTGAAAGCAGCTTTGATTGCTGGTTTGATGCATTCTTGGGCTTCATCACTGACTGTTTCTTGTAGGCTGCCTGTCGAAACCACTCATGAATGCTGCTTGAGGTGGGCCTTCCATTGTCAAGCAAATCCTGTCACATTGAGTTATACTGGGTTGTGTGCGTGCTATCAGCAACAGAGATTTCTTTCTGTCACAGTATGCAAAGCTTCTCACACATTGATGCTGTAACACCAGTTATACCTGACATGCATATTTAATGGAAAACACTGAAGCATTCACTTGATTATAAGAGAATGCAGCTTGCACACATTTTGTGAAATTGCCAAAATCTGTAAAATGTTACAATTCACAAGACTACTTTCAACAAAGCTACAGTAACCTTCTTCAGGAGTTCTCATAGTTTTTCCATAATTCAGCTACTGTTATGTAACAAGAATGATATAATCTCATGCAAAACTACCATTATTGAATTGAACATTCAAGATTAGAAAATTAAAATAGTTTGTGTACATTATCTTTGTAAAATTAAAATGTTTTAGTAAATTAACATCTTAGACAATGATTCTTAGGCATTATTTTTTCAAATTCTGGTCTCACAAACCTAATGGGCTAATGCTGTTGAAAAGGCTTGACAGCTAAGTAAATACAATATTTCATGCAATGTCAATAACCCAGTTACTCACCAAAAATATATGCATTGAAAGCAGCTTTGATTGCTGGTTTGATGGATTCTTGGACTTCATCACTGACTGTTTCTTGTAGGCTGCCTGTCATTTGGTGAGTACTTACGACGAACTCCACCCGGAAGGTAACAGTTCGTTTAGGACAGTGTAACTCAATATGACCCAACACACGCACGATAGTCGTTGTCTCTAAAGAAAGACAGTGTCATACGTTTCGATTTCCAGCTATAGTTGGCTCATACATGTTTTTAAAGGTTTTTAACACCAATTCAGTTTCAATAATACAGTTGAACCTCTCTAAAACACACAGTGAGGAACCAGCAAGGAAATTCAATGTAGGGAGGTTTCTAGTTTGGGAAACTAGCTTTTCTGCAGGAAATGTACAAAAATTGCAGGAAATTGTAAGTGGTGATATTCTGGGCCTCTGAAATTACTTCTCAAATGAGTTTATAGCATGCTGAACTTGGAAGCTGAGGTTCATTTGCCCAAATGGTCTGTTATTGCTTCCTTTAAAAAAATGTGAAGTTACTTTTTTATTGCTTTTATCTTTTGTGCATCCAGAAAATAATAGCTTAATGGCCACAGAATATCTGACTTATAAAGGTCTGAGAGAAAAAGACATTGAGTTAGAGAGGGTTTAATCCATCGATTTTAAGGGCATTATGATACAGGGGCATTTAAAATTTTGAGTTAGGGAGGAACCTGACTTAGGGATGTTCAATGTATTGAGGTTGAACTGTATCTGCTAACTTATGTTAATATGTGTAGAACATTTTAACCTTGCATCTTGCAATCATTTCACATTTGAGGAATTTTATCCAACCAAACATTGTCTTCCTCTCCAGAGTTGATGCTTTCTTCACTCTCAATTATTTGGTCATTACTTGAATGGCCTGAATACTTGCAAGGAGGTTTTTTCAAAATACGTTTTGCTTGCTTTTCTGTGGAAAATTGAGTTCTGCTAATCCCACCAGAGCAGTAACCAAGTTCTTGATGATCCTTTGCATTTCCCACAAGAGGGTCTGTGTGGAAAGCTGTTTTAAATAGATTCCCAGAAGTGATCTGAATGCACAATTTTTATGACCAGTGAATTGACTACATTCATATTCTGACAAAGCATCATGAACAGGTGTAATATAGAAAAATTACATTCAATCACCTATTGTTCCTCCCATCCAAATGTGTCCAATTTTGTACTCAAGCATTTGGACTGGATCAGCAATTCATAATTGAAGAATTTTTCTGCATTCACTGAGTATGATGTAATCATCTCCCCATTCACAATTGAATCCTCTTTTGGACACAGCACATATTTTCCATCAGTGATTATCCAATTATTCAGGATGTAACCTTGAAAACTAATGATTCTTCCAGTTAGAATTGATGGATTTCTTGGACAAAAACCTGGAAATATTCTTCATATTTCTACTCATACATAATCATGATTCAATACTGCCCATTGTTTGAGTCATTACCAAGTTCTTTCTGCATGGGTTATTCATGTCTGGTACAGGCACATACTTCTTCAATATCATTACGACACTGTTACACTGTACAACTGGTTTTTATATAAATGTAGAATATCAGCAACGTGGTTTAAAATGAAACAAAGAAATTATTTGCACAAATCTTCATACCCACATTTGGTTCCAAAAGTTTGGTTCCATGTCTGCCTTGGTGTTTCCTCCCCTGTCCATTTTGCAATCAGAGAGTCCCATGAACTTCTCTCCCTGGGGGTAATATTTTCTCCCAGCTTCACCACCATCCAAAGCAGTTATACACACCAGGGCTGGTACATTTTCTTCTTCTGATAGTTTTCTTTTCACTAATCCCTTAGACGTCATGGCAAATTCACAGTACTCATGAGATGGATCCCACTCTGTGCTCCATACTCTGGGAATTTCAACCTATTTGAAAATCGAAATTGTAGGATTCACAAGAATAAAGGACCCATACATACATCAACAATCCCAATTCCATTAATCCAGGTTGCAAGTTATTGGATTCATGAGTCAGAGACCTCTATATTTAAAATTGTGTATTTATTCTTGGGGATCAACCTCAATTCCAATTCAATGTAAACCTTGTCACTTCACAGGATTTGGGGATTAACCTCCCTCAGTTGAATATTTAAAGCTTTCACTCTGAAACTGTGTCTAGATTTAAGAATGTTTGACTTTCAGAAAATTAGAACAGATACCAATAAGTCTCTTTGCAATTGCCTTACGCGAAAAGCAAGAAAACATAGTTATCCACTCTGGGATGGATGTATGTAAGGTAGTTTGGACCTTTTTTTCCCAGTCCTTTTCTTGTGTTGCTTGTTGTAATACTGGCCAATGACAATCATCCTCTTCCTTAATGGTGCTCAATATACCTTCAACATTTCTTTGACGCTGAGGCTGCTTCTGACAAAGAAGTGGCATTGCCTCCATGGTTGGTTCCTTCTTTTTTTCACTTACTTCTCATAATGTTTTCAAAAAATGCAAACCTGTACAAAATATATGAATAGTTATGAATAATCATGATTGGAAATGTGCAACCATTCTTCAGAAAATCTGACATTTTTCAGGTATGTATACATATACTGTACTTTATAATTTCACAGTCGAATGTTGGCATTGGAATGCTGAAGAGAAAGTAGCGGCCCGAGATTTCTGCTATCAATCAAATCAATGATTGCGAAAATACGAACATGATATACTAATCGAACTTCAGTGCAAAAAACATCGGGGTTTTACCGGTGCAGACACGCGGACTAATGTTTCTCTGGTTTCTGGCTGAACTTCGGAATCCAAAAAATTCGAAATCCTCTCATTCCTTTCCTTTCTTAAATAATGAATTTATTCTGTTGAAATAAGACGCGGAAATGTGACTGAAACGGGCCAGAAACTGAAGAAATGTCATTTCGTTTTCACAGGAATCGTTTTTATTCAACATCGTCACCAGTACAAGTAAGCAGTGTTTTCATTCGCTGAACAAACCCACATAGTTTGCAGTGTGACTTCCCAAGTCGGCTTGCGATGCACTGTCCCTTCAACCACAAAACTATTGTCGTCACCGAACCAGTAAACATTGAAAGACCCCCAAGCAAAGTAATCGTCACCGTCGTCGACTTCTCGCAAAAGCTCCGTCAGTGGACCGTAAAATGTCCCATCTGCGGATGTGAAGGAAGTTAAATTTTGAATAATTCGCTCTCGAGTGATTGAATCAGTGATTTTATGTTACTGCTTGCGAATCTGTCGAGTGTGGAGCCATCAGCAAATGTGCCACCTATGATAAGTTTGGGTTCGCCCGTGCAGTCATTGAGGTCGGCGAAGAAACTGATCCGACGTCCTTGCATTTGCACTGCAGTCAATTCTTGGATGGTAAGTAATTTATTTCTGCGACAGAGAAAACTTTATTTATGCACAGGAGTTGCCAGACTTCGTTTCGGAGCTTTTGAATTATTGAAGCATCCATTTTTGTTTCAATGAGAAAATTATCACTTGATTTCTTATTTTCATTAACTGATTTTATTGCTCAAGCTAATGAAACTGTCTTAAAAGAATGAAGTTTGAAACGAGGTGTCTCAAATTTGAGAATAGCTCATCTTTGATACTAAAGGAACCAAAATTAATTCATCAGAAAAAATACGTGAATAAGGATAACAGTTTAAAGATTGCAAAATGGCTTTCAGGAAAAATATAATTATGGATTTTTTAAAATGCCGATCTAAGGATTTGTGCTGAACCAATCATAAAAAGTATCAATTTTATGGCTTCTGAGTTCCCAAAAACTACTCTTCAAAGCATTTTCATATGTTCTCTTCCATGCTTTTCCTTTACTGAATTTGGAATCCTTCTACAGTATGAAATAGTACATTATTTTATGTAACATTAAATAAAAGAATAATAGTACAGAGAAAATAGCTGAGGATAACCGGCTTAAAATTTTCTGGAAGACCTTATTCTGGGCTCGGAGAAATTTTTATTGTGAAGAGTACATCTTCTAATTATAAAAATTGGCATTGATTGCAAGATAGAAATTGGATCACGAGTTACCGATTTTAGAAACAAAACTGAGAAAGGTATCAGCAAGGCGTTTCAGCCATTATTTAACTGAATACAGGAATTTTCCACGAATAATTAAAGGACCACGAAATAATCACATCATGCAGATAATTATTCACAAAGCAGTAGCCTATAAATTTCTTAAGCGTTCTCTGTATGGGAACAGAAAATAATTTCATCCTCCTTCGAGCATCGATGTAAACGCAAAAATATTCTGCTCAAGAGCCCACCTTCAATAGATATCAATAAGTTTAATTACCTTGGACGGTCGACTGAAGCAATACGAATCGCAGAATTTGACAATTCGCAAGATGCTGAATCGACTGACAACAGTTGACCTGTGATCGGGTCAAGTGAGTGCAGATTCACTGCCACCGATCCATCTTGAAGTACATTGTATTGCTGCTGAAGCAGGTAAGCTTTTCCTAAAGAAATAATGAAATAATCCAAAAACGTCATCGTCAAGATATTCTAAAGACTTGAACACAAATGTTTTTCCCTTACTGTATTTTTTTTATTAATTACGGAGAGGCTCTTCTGTGGACGCACTAATTTTTCCAGTTGAAATTGCACGAAATCTTCATTTACTCATTTGTTTAGAAATTTCCCTAGTTTTAATCGGCACTTACCATCTCTTTTTGCAACCATTTTGCTGACGAAGTTGACACTTGAGCCGGTTTCGACGTTGTCCCAAGACCAACCATTTATCGTTTGACCATATATCTGATGGGAAATATTGAAATATATTTTTATAAATAAGGGATGATCACATTTTTCAAAAGAAATCTGTTGATCATCTCACTGTGGGGTAGTACGGTCCATTTGGCGAGTCCCATTCGCACAATTTGGCATCAACAGTAACTTCGAGTCTGTGGTTATTTTGCAGAATCACAAGCAATTCCTCGAAATTACTGGCGATTGTCAACGGGGTGCCTGGAAAATGTTGATCCCATTATTTTTTCTGACTTCAAACTTAGTTACAACTTTCTAGGAGCGCATCAAGCTTCAAATAAAATAGATAAAAAATATGACATGGACAGATCGAAAGCTGAATTCGTAAAGGAACAGCAATTTCGTAAAAATAATTTCTCAAATTTGAAGCATGCATAAATATTTCATACTGTAGTCATATTAACGACCACAACACCCTTCACTTTACGCACGACCCTTTTAAGCTAATGTATTTCCGCTACGCTTGGCTGCGCCTGGTGCGCTAGCTCCTTAGACGTCATGGCAAATTCACAGTACTCATGAGATGGATCCCACTCTGTGCTCCATACTCTGGGAATTTCAACCTATTTGAAAATCGAAATTGTAGGATTCACAAGAATAAAGGACCCATACATCAACAATCCCAATTCCATTAATCCAGGTTGCAAGGTATTGGATTCATGAGTCAGAGACCTCTATATTTAAAATTGTGTATTTATTCCTGGGGATCAACCTCAATTCCAATTCAATGTAAACCTTGTCACTTCACAGGATTTGGGGATTAACCTCCCTCAGTTGAATATTTTAAGCTTTCACTCTGAAACTGTGTCTACATTTAAGAATGTTTGACTTCCAGAAAATTAGAACAGATACCAATAAGTCTCTTTGCAATTGCCTTACGCAAAAAGAAAGAAAACATAGTTATCCACTCTGGGATGGATGTATGTAAGGTAGTTTGGACCTTTTTTTCCCAGTCCTTTTCTTGTGTCGCTTGTTGTAATACTGGCCAATGACAATCATCCTCTTCCTT